AGAGTAAAGTCTAAAATTTTATTTAAACACTAGTATATACAAATTTTAGAATATAATTTTTTTATTAGAATTTCAAAAACAGTTTCATAAATGAAGTTTTAAAGATATTAGAGTTTTTTTAAAAAATTTAAAAAAATTTTTGTTTTTGTTATACAAGATCTTCACATTATACAAATAATTTACAAATTTAATTGACTAAATTACAAAATGGACTGCAGTGCATGTGCACTATATTCTTAAACTCTTATTATTTTATTTATTAATTATAAATATATTATTTTTAATTTAATTATTGTTATCATTATTATTACTAATATTATTATTTATTTTAGTATTTTTTAAGACAACAAATTATTATTATTTATATATAAATTATGTAATATATATTTTAAATTTGTACAATAAATTTCTTTTAATAAAATTCTTTATTTTTTTTTTAATTATTCAAATACTTATTTAATAACTATTTTTATTAAAGAAAAAATATTATTAAAGTGTTATTTATAATAAATTAATAAATTATAATTTGAAAATTCTTTAATCAAATAAGTTTTTAAAATATATATATAATTAGTAATAATGTATATATTATTGCAAACCTAATGTTTAGAATGTAATAAATTTTTATAATAAAGAAAAAAGTGATATAATATATAAATATTATAAATACTATCTTTATAAAAATTTATTTATAAATAAATTAAATAAAATAAAATAATATATAAAAATATAATTTATTAAATCTGGTTTTGTAATATATATATATTAAAAATTAACAATATTATAAAAATTAATAGAATAAAAGTTTTTATAATTAATAAATTAAGTATTATTTTAAGAAAGAAACTAAATTTTATATGCAATTTATTTATAATATTAATAATATTTATAATTTTTTAAATTAGTTTTATTATATTTAAAGTTATATATTATTGCTGCTAATTAAGTACCCTATGATCACAGTATTCTATTCTTTTTTATATCTAATAATACTTTTAAAAACTAATTAGTAAAATGATATATAGATTCCTAACTAATTATAAATATTTGTTTTAATGTTTGTATATCTGTTTTATTTACAATCTTAATAATACAATGACAATTTGATTCTATATAAAAATTATATTAAGGATTTTTAAAACAAAAACTAAATAAATTTCTAATTACCTAATAATAAAATTAAAAATAATAGGGTGTGGTGACCTAGTGAAGTGATCAGGTTGTCAACCCTCCAAGTAGTAGGTTGAGTGTTCAAATTCTATCGATGGTGAAAATTTGAATAATCATCTATATAATATTCATATTAAAGCAACTGTTACTAATGATTTGGTTAGAATATCTGTAATAGCAATCACACCAGCATGATTGGTATGTCATGAAGCATTTATGTAACAGATCACATGACATTGTCCTTTGGAACAAGGTTGTAGTTACATGAAGGAATACAAACTAGCAATTAAGCAGTACAAACACTAGACAAGTTCTTGTAGCTATGTAAATCTGTTGAAATTGGATAACAAGAAGTCCATTTGGAAAAACCTGAGTAGAGAGGTAGTCAGATCTTCAATGACCCTACTGTAAAGGCTAGTCTTATAAAACAGATGTCAAGATTGAAGTAGCCAGACAGGCAAAAACCTTTAGATGAGAGGTACTACCAACCAGGCTGCTGATTAAGTCAGAGGAAAAGAATATCAGGCTGACCTAATATACCAATAGACCAGTCTAAATCCTATCAGACTATCTGGATTAGGAGTTTGGTGAACTAGCAGAAGTATACTAAAATATTTCGGATATACTGTGAAATAGATGCTAGGGTTTGTGTGAACTCTACAAGAACATAGCAATTTAATAGTTAGTCCTGATCGCAAGTATTAATTCTGACATAATAATACCTAGATCAACTATAAAAATGGGTACAGAAGGCTTTGAAAGGTTTACATTGAGGATAAATTAGTCCTAAGGTTGAGACAATAAACTGGGCATATGGGTATGACCCAGTAATATTAATACAGGTTACAAGTTCAGAGAGTTTAAAGTAAAACACCCAAGCAGAGGTGTTAGGTATAGCAATTAGTAGAAAACTTTCAAGCGAACTCCTTAAATAGGTAATATAGAAAAGTTATACATGTAGCCAATTGTATGCTCTTCTGTAATGGTTCATTGAACCACAATATCAATAAATAATTAATAAAAGTCAAAAGATCAAAGAGGTCACCTTAATACCAAAAAAAAAAATAATAATTAAAAATAATAAGAATAATATAAAAAGAATACTGAAATGAATTATAATCTTTTTTATTTATTAAATTTAAAAAACATTTATTTAAAATTCTTTTATTTTTTGTTTTGATTGATGTTAAGCTTTTAAATTAAATAAAAAAAAAATATATAAAATTGTTATATTTGATATAAAAGTTAAAAAATAATAAATATTTATTAATTTTAATATTTGAATTTCTTGAAACTTTTTATTTGTAATAAAAGTTTTTAATATAAAAAACAATGTAATAAAATTTTAATACTAATTGTTATTTTACTAAGATTTATAACATAAGTAAAGTACTTAAACAACTTCTCTTTGTACTTTATTAATAGATAATTTTAGCCTATTAGTGTTAACTCTGTAAAAAAAAAAAGATCTGTATCTTTAGAACTTTTTTATTAAAATTACAACTTACTTGACTAATTATTTCAGTCTCTAACTAATTAAAATTTTGCATTTGATTAATTTATCTAGACATTTAAGAATATAATTAATTGGTTAACTGATGTTGTAAAAATCATATAAACAGAAAATTGTTTCTATGCTCTTACATTGCTATGTGAAACAATTTTGATAATCTTTATTCAGAAACTCTAAAAATTTTTAAAAAAATTAAAAACACTAAATCACAATTTTTAGTAAATTATTTTGATGTATTTAGTGTAATTTTATCTACTTACAGATTTTTTTTAAAACAGAAGTATACAAAAGCTTTGTTATAGAGTATGAATAAATATTGAAATATTACAAATTTTATTTGGCAAAAATAACAACAAAATTATTCAATTTAACATAATAAAAAAGCATTTATTGATATCACAATAAAATCAATATCTACTGGTAGTAAAAACAATATTTACGTATTAATATCGCAATTTTTTAGAGTTCCTAATGCTACACCAATAAGCATACAGGCATAGGGGACTCAGAAAAACACGGGCTTTGTTATATGATTGTTGACCAATCAGAAACCAACTTTATCAACACATGATAAAAGCAGATAGATAGTCATTGAACTAAGCAGTCAATCAATGGTCATTATTCATATATTATAATTATTTGGTTTAAATACAAATTAAAATAACTCGCGTTGTAAAAGAATCTGACTATTCACTCACATTCTAGTAGTAAATGTACGGTTGTAAAAATTCTATTTTATAAGATTTTTAGTAACAAGTTACATGTCCGTCAATAGTTTTCTTAAATCTCACGTAATTAATAAAGCTACCTTATCGTATATATTAAATTACTCTATTGCGTTAAATATCTTTTAAGAAATATCATATCTTTAAAATAAATCTGCAAAAGTTCGGAAATGAAAGTTAACAAGTTAATAATTTTAAAAATAATAAAAAAACAGAAAAAATAATGTTAAACTTTGTGAATTGAACAGTACAGTATACTTTTATTACCTTTTATTATTGAGTAAATAGTACTTCAGCCTTAACAGAACGACATTTTCCAGCGTGATGCAGCATGATGCAACTCGAGTTTCCTGGTTTCAAACCACTATCGCTATCCTATATAAATATTCGTGTAACGTCGATCCCGGAAATCATCGGATTCCATGCTTACACCAATATTATGATTATTTATTTATTTGAGAATTTAAAGTTTAATAAATAACCAACATTAGTGTATATTAATATACACGATACTATTGGCTAGTGTAATTTTTACGATTTTTAGATTTCCCGTGATGTGTGATGAATGAAATTTGATCACAGTAATTTGTAAAAGCACAATAATGGTAAAAGCATTCATAAAAATAAAACAATGTACGTACGTATTAGCTTATAAAATTAAAATTTTATAGAGATAGTTATCCAATTTTTAAAATATTGGATATTTTTTTATATTAGAATAGCATATATAGTACATCATAATAATCAACTAATTTGTGAAAATAAAAGTGATATATCAATTAAAGTACAGTATTAAACATTGCGATTTTATCCGTAAAGATAGTACAGCAGTTATAAAATGTGCGAACAATTAGGAGCCATGAAATAAAAGATGTTGCATTTGATGTAATAAAAATCTTTCGGTATTATATTAATTGGATCGCATTTAGAGATGATTTTCTTGGAGCGTAGCATTTATTGGGGTTAACTGCATTAGGGATATAAAATAGAAATACAGTCAACCCTTTTAAATACACGACAAGCGGCATATGTAAATAGTTAATCAAATGTTCATTTTAAGAAGTAAAAGTCTATGAATATTTATTTATATTAGTTAAGTCTAAATGGAACCGTGCATTTATGGAAATATTGTATTTAGGGATTATTGCATTTAGGGAGGTAAAAATATATAATAGTTAGGCTTAAGTGGACTTATATATTTAGGGAGATTTTTCATAAATTGATGAGCTGCATTATATATATAACAAAGAAATACAATCACTCCGGAATTTTATGTGTACATTCATACTAATCAAGAAATACATATATACAAATTAAGAACTAAACTCAATGGCAAGCGTTTTTATTATGCATGTGTGATTAGTAAATGCAATTTGTCGATCAGACGGAGTATCGCATTGAATCCTTATTGTCCCATCCACTTTCGTAAAAAAGACGTTTTTTGAAACTTTGTATATAAATGATTTGATTCAGTTCAACTTTACTGACAAAATATTCGTAATTCTAAAAGATGTTAATTTCATATAACATTCAATCCGTTATTTTTATTTTTTCTTTATTTTCATTTTATAAACTAACATTATGCTCGGAAAATGAACCATTTTTGTACCAACATTCTCCTGATTACCTTATCAATAACCATTTTTTCGAAATTAAACCAGCAAAGGATGCTTTTTCTCTTGATGTTAAACCAATCGACTGTCCCGATAATTATACATTAAAGCAGTTATTTTTACTTTCTAGACATGGTAATTATTTATTCATGCACACCATATAATTTCACAATAAAATATGATGATATAAAGTAACTTTTTGGAATCTATTTATTAGGATCGAGATTACCAAATCTAGATCAGATCGCAGGTTTTGATAAAATTGATAAAGCATTTGCAAATGTTTCTGTATCGAAAGATTGGGTAAATATACTATTATTTTTTAATACAGTACAACATCTAGAAAATATTATTTGCTTATTTAAAAAAAAAAAATACAATTTTTAGCCTAAAAATCCTTTCCCACCAGAAAAAAATTTTCGATTGACTACCAGAGGTAAACTCGAACCTTATTACAATGGTTTACAATCTCTCAGAAGATACGAAAAATTTTGGAAAACTGTCGAATATGATGCTGACGTCGTAAAGTTTCAGACCGCTAATGCTTTTTGGTAAATATGTGTTTATTCATTACAAATACTCCAATACTAAGGTTACACCTTATTGAAATAAGACTCAAAATTAAAAGCATTAAAAATTGTGGTAGTTGAAGCTGGGATTTAAGCTAGTTAATAAAAAAGTATAAGTAAATTTTTGTAGATTTAATAGATTTAATAGGTTTAATAGGTTTGCATAGAACTTCAAATCTGCTTTGAACGATACCAGCTTCAGTTGCCACAAGATTTAATTTAAGCAAGTGTAACTTAAGGTGCTTAAAGTTGCAATTTCAAGCATCACAAACTGTATTGCATATAACTTATACCAAAATATATGTTCATTAAAGGATCGGTCAATCGACAATGTCTTTTGCAGAAGGATTATTGGATGGAACTGGCCCTATAGGCACCTGTAAAAATGAGCCAGTATTTATGTGGTCTTTACAAACGGTAAATATTATAAGTATATATTAATTTTTATTTATTAAGTTTAATTATTCATCTTATTTATATATTTTAGAGTCATGATTATTTGTTAGAAATGTGGAGTGCTTGTCCACGTTGGAATCAGACAGTTGGAAGTAACTTTGCTCTTTATACAGAGCAAACTTATTCTTATGGTAATAAGACTTTGGCGCCAATAGCTGAAAGATTGACCAAAAAATACAATATCAATCCACCTCTTGATCCGAAATTAGTACCATATTTATATTATTATTGTGATTTCTATGTCCTTCAATTTAATCGAACCGACACTTGGTGTGGATTACTAAGTGATGATGATCTTATATTTGGTCGATATTATTGGAATATGAGAAGTTATTATCAATATTCATATGGGAATCCTCTTAATGAGCAATTGGGTTGTGCTTTCGTTACACAATTTGTAAATAGCGTTGAGGATTACTTGAATGGGAAATCTCGGATGGTAGCTGATCTGAAATTTGCTCATGGATTTACTGATTATGTTGTGCTTACTACGTTGGTATGTAAAAATAAATTGGTTTGATTATATTTCAGCTTTATTTATTTATTTTACTAGTTATTAATATATTCTGTCTAATAATAGGGTGTATTTAAAAACGAATATCCACTTACAGCAGACTTAACTCTTGAACAAATGAAAAGCTTAAAATATATAGAACAAAAAGCTTTTTATTGGTCTTCAACTATATATTTTGAAATTTATACTTCTCCAGGAAAAGATGCATTATTGAGACTTGTAGTTAATTTTGATCCTTATATAATTCCGGGTTGTGATGAATATTGTGAATGGAGCAAATTTAAGAATATTTTGGGTAGTAAGATTAATTGCGATTTTGAAAAGTTGTGTGCTTATCCTTAATTTTTTACTGTATACCTAGTTGAGAATATATTTGTATATGTTCATGTTGATTAGATCTGTGCTATATTATATGCGTTGTTTATACATTAATTTGTAATCGAGTAATAAAGTCTTTAGTATTTAAAGTTATACCTTCATAAGCGCATTTCCACAAATACGTATCCATATATATACATACTTAGGTTTAATTCCATTATAAATGTATGCCTAAATTATTTATGGCTTGCCGTAAATAAAAATTGCTGAAAATATTTTAGGCAGCCTAATCTGTAAATAATTTCAACTATTCAAATGCCGAAACACTTCTGACTTCATTATTATACATGTGTGCCTGAAAATTTTATATTATTGTATAGCCATGTTATTGATGACTATACTAATAATTCTCATATTTGTATAGTTTACGTTATCACGTGAATAAATTTTAATTAAAAAAATATAATATATATACTCGCGTAGTTTAATTTGATAACGTAATTACAAATATGATATAAAGTATAGTTATCAATAACTATATATTATAATGCAAATATTTAAAATTATAAAATATTTTAATTTTCAAATAATCAACTAGTATTAGATAATGCAAAGGTCGAATCCAATGAGTATCCACTAGAAATCAGAATCTGAAATAGGTTCATAGGCAGAAATTCGTTTGATTGGCTAATGCAAATCAATTGCCCGGGTAACTTATTTATATATTTTGGAGTACTTTTCAAGAATGCAACATTGCACAAGTAACCATTCTTAATAAACATCGTCGTTAGGTTAGAAAGGTCTGGAAAGCTGTTTAAAAATAATCTCTAATAATTTCTAATTTAAAAGAAGTTGACTTAATTATGACTTTTTGCAAGAGGTAAAGAAAAAAAAGCCATGTTTAACTTTTAAAATGTACAAAAACAAAAGTAGTAATTAACAAAACAGTTGTTAAAGTTTGAGATTTCAAGTTAGGTGTTTGAAGCAAAACAAAACTCTTGAAGTATTGTCAACCTTTCAAGTGGTAGGTTGAATGTTCAAAACTCATCAATAATGAAAATTTGGACAATTACTTATGTGTAATATTTGATTATAATAATTGTTTCTAATGTTTAGGTTAAGATGCCTGTAATTATAGTTGCACTTATATAACTGGCAGGTCATAGAACATCTATGTAATTAGTTATACAAAGAAATACAAACTGGCATTGAGTTATGCAAACTCTAGATAAGTTCTTGTAGTCTTGTAAATTTATGGAAATTGGAAAATAAAAAGTTCATTTAGAAATACCCAAACAGAAAAGTAGTATGGATGTTTAATAATATTACTGTAAAAATTAGTCTTATAAAACAAATACTAATATAAAGAAATAAATAGGTAATACTTCTGATTAAAAGATATTATTAACTAGGTTATCAGAATTAAATCAGAAAAAAAGAATATTAAATTAATCTGATATATTAATATACTGTTTATAATTCTATTAGGCTATCTAAATTAAGAGTTTAAAACAATGTAGAAATAATTTAGATATGCTTTGAAATAGTGTTAGAGTTTGAATAAACTTTATAAAAATATAGTGATTTAATAATTAATCCTAATTGTAAGTATTGGTTCTATCATAATAATACTATAACAATTGTAAAAATGAATACAGAAAGTTTTAGAAGGTTTATCTTAAAGATAAATAGTTCTATATTTGAAATAATGATTTGAATATAATTTAGACATATTAATATAAGTTATAAGTTAAAAGGATTTAAAAAATAATATTTAAGCAAAGGTGTTAGATACAACAATTAGTAAAAAACTTTTAAGTAAACTCCTAAATAAATAATATAGAAAAATTATATATGTAGTCAATTATATAATCTTTCTATAGTAGTTTTTTACAAAATATATTACTAAAAAACATTAATAAAAATTAAAAGATCAAAGAAGTCATCTTAATAAAATTAATTAATAAATAAAATATAATTTTATTCTTAAAATCTCTATTAACTTTTAACTAATATTCTTTCTTAGCCTTTGTTTCTAATAAGTTCTATTAGCTTTTGTTTATTTTTTCTCAACTTCTTTGTTCTTGTATACCCTATTAGTTGGTCAGTAGCTACCTTAATTATATTGTTATTTCTCTTTATTAATATATTTGAAATTGTATTTATTTTATTATTAATTCTTATTCAATATTAACAGCTATTCTTTACTAATTTTTCTTTTTTTGTATATTTCTTGCATTTGTCAATTTTAGTTATTAAGTTATTTTTTATATTATATACCTGCCAGTATTCTATTAATAGTTTCTTTTTTTCTTTTTAACTATTTTTTCTAGTTACCTATTTTCTATTGTATTATATACTATTTATTTTTTTTTCTTTTGTTCTTTGACAGACTTCTCTACTTAATCTTTATTGTCTATATATTATATCTAATTGTCTTGAATTATTCTTTAACTTTTTTGTTTTCAAATCTGTTTAGTACTTTTGTTTTTATTGTCTTGAACCACTTTGTCTTTTTGCCTTTACTTAATTGTTTTTGATAGTTTTTGAGTTGTTGTCATGTTATTAGTCTTTCTTTATTTATATCAAGTAATTAATTTAGATATATTAGTTTTGCTTTGCTTATTTTGGTTCTACTTCTTTTCTACAGTCATGGTCTACTAGTTTGATTATTCTGGATCTATAACCAGTTGTTGTCTATAATTCACTTTCTATGCTTATATTTATTCTTAACTTTTTTACTTTAATTATTATCAAACAGGTTAAATTGTTCTTCTAAGATAACTTGTCTTCTGGCAATTGTACTAGTTTCTATATGTCTTCTGTTAAACTTATTCTTTGACAACTCTGTGTTATTATTAATTTTGTTATCTGCTTTAGTTTATCTTTTTGTTTAGTCTGGCTACTAGGCCTCTTATTTGTTTTATTATTAGTTTTTGTTACAGAGTTCTGCAATTACCAAAGTTCTTATATTCTATTATGCAATTTTCTAGTATTTTTGATAAGTTGTTTTTTTGTTTTGTCAAATATATTATTAGTTAGTATATTTTATTTATCCTTTTCTCTGATATTTTTGATAATTGTAATATGTAGCTTAATTTTAATATTATTACTATATTGTTTATATATGCAATCTGGCTTATTATCATTTTCTTATACTTAAAGTTTCTTATTATCTGACTTATTATTCTTTTTGCTTTTTTTCTTGCTAAGACTCTCATATTCTGTTATTTAGCCTGATTTTTATTAAACAAACTATTTTGTTTTTTGGCTTTTCTGTTATCTTGTTTTTTTTAAAAGTTATTTATTTTTTCTTTTTTTAAATTTTCTGTTCTTTATTATCAGTTTTGATTTAGATTTATTTATTTTTATGTTATTTATTTGAAGAACTCTTTTGTTATCTTTAGAGTCTCTAACAATTGTTCTTTATTACTTACAATTTATATTGTATCATTCATATATACAATTGCTACCTGGCAATAACTTGTGATATTGTTATAATGTATTCTTTCTTTAATTTTTTGTTTTACTATGTAGTCTAATTTTTTATTCTTTTGTATCTTTTCTAATAGCAGATTATAAAAAAGTTGTTATATTAGTAGTGATATCATTTCATCTTGAACTATTCCATTTTTTGCTGTTATTTTTTCTGTCAAACCATGTACTGTAATTATTTTGAGCTATCTTTTATGAAAAAGATTTAGAATATATATAATTGTTGTTCTGAGTAGTTTGACTCTTTGTAAAACTAGTTCTAGACTTTTAAAAGAAACTAAGTCAAATGCCTTTTTTATATCTTATAAAAGTTTTTACAGCTCTTTATTCTTTTTTTTTGTCTCTTTTATTATTATGTTTAGAATGTATACTGTTTGTTTTGCTGAATTTTCTAGTAGGCCTATATAGTTTAGTTCTTTAAGTACTTCTTTCTTAGTAAATATTTTACTAAGTTTTTTTGTTACTGACTTTTTTATAATCTTTTTAAATAATTTAATTAGTGGTATTGGTTAAATATTGTTCAAACTGTATCCTCATTTATGTTTTTCAGTATTGGATATACTTATGCTATTTTCTATTTTATCAGTATCTCCACTGTCTTTAAACACAAGTTTGTATAGGCTTTGAAAACTTTTTATATTTTTCTTTCTGCTTATTTAATTAGAATATAGCTTATTCTTAATATTTCTGAAACTGTTTTTGTTTTAGATTTCTTAATTATTCTACCTTATTCTTCTTCAATTTTTTTTTTTTTTTTTAATATAATTTTATGGTTTATAGATTTCTTTTTAACTTACTAGCATTTCTTCTAATTTCATATTTTTTTCCTAAATTGTTTCTTATAATGTTTTATTATTGTTTCTTTAATTAGTTCTGATTCAATCACTAGTTTAGTTTTTCTTCTATTTATTTGATTACTCTGTTAAGTATTACATTTTTATATGACTTGTTTAAAAGGCTGACTATCATCTTTTCTTAGTCAGTTTTGATTATTTCACATCTTTTATTTATGTTATTTTCTATTTGTTTTCTTTGTTTTTGTTTCTATTTTTTCTTTTTTTTCTCTTAAAGAATTTTTGCCAGCTTTTTATGTTCTTTATCCAAGCATCAAACTACTGTCTTTAAATTTTTAATAATTTTGTACTGATTTTCTTCTCTAGTATCTTTAGTTTCCTATTTATTTTAATTTTATTTGCTTTTGTAACTCTTTGTTCTTTTTTTGTTTTTGCATATTTGATTAGTTTTTGAAACTCTATAATGATTTTTCTTGCTGTTAATCTTCTTAACTATGCCTTTTATTTATTATATTGTAAACCTTTTTGTTAAAAATATGTTTGTTTGCTGTTATTATAATTATATCTTCTATTATATTTCATATATTGTTAATTTTTTGTATTTTCTTTCCTTCTTCTTGTTCTTCTTTTCATATATTTTTCAAAACTTCTTTTATCTTTAATTGTTTTTGTAACTCTTGGTATAACTTTTTACTCTTCTTCTTTTATCTTGTTATAGAGAAATATTGTTTTTAA